TGCAGTGGAGACGATAATACAGTTTTCAGCCCTGAATTCAAAAAAAGGGCGAAATAGTGAAATTGAAGCAAAAATAGGACGATGGTAGAAAACGCGGGGATTGTGGGCCTCCTCTCCTTTTGAATCGGAAAGTGCGGACATATGCTTAAAGGCAGTTGGCACGATGATTTGGTGCTCGGCCTAAAATGCTAGTAGGGCGCTATATAGTGGGGAAATGGCGAAAGAACGGAGTGAAACGGTCAAAATCCTGCGAAGAAAGAGCCTCCGTTCTCAATGTGTTAGAAATCAATTTTGGACGAGTTTCCCGTAGGCATCTTGCCAATAACCGCTACCGAAGGTACGGCTGCATATGTGTATCCATGCAGCATCACGGCCGCTTCATACCAATCCCTTCGCTTCATAATTTGCTTAGCAAATGAATCGATTAGAGCGTCAGGAACGGTCGTCCATTTGTGGGCGGGCGGGCGTGGCGGGCGTTTGGGTCGGTATGTTGTGGCTTGATAGGGCCCTTATAAGGGCACCTCCCTTGGAAAAGGCATTATGCAGCGCCTGCTCAGGGTCGCGGAATTCCGTCCTGCCAGGCGTATTAATCCTACGTCTTGGGGATTTATCCCAACTGTCCTCAATGCAATTTATCAACAGACGTTGATAACAATGTTTGAGTAATAAGACAATTTCACCCGCAAACCCAAGGCAGACATAAAGTCTCAAAAACCAAAACACTCGCATATCAACGATATTATCATGAGAAGCCAGCCGACTCTTTGGAGATTAGAGACAGCTTTCGCAATTGCCCGGTAAAAAAAGTCCTTCCTCGCAAAAGGAGGTGCAGTTCGCAATCGCTGAGCATGCCCCACTTTCGTAGTTCGAAAGCGGTCGATAAGAGCGCAGCGGTTCAGCGACGATGAGCGAGCCCCGCCCCCGCGAACAAGATTGCCATTACCACAACACCTTTACGATTTCTTTTTACGTAGTTGTGATTTGGTTATGAAGCAGGTGATCCGTCGGAGAAGTATCGATAAACTGTATGTTTCTTAGATATACCATGAACTGCTTTTATTACAATTAATATCACAATTACAATTAATATCATATCAATTGTTGGTCGCAAATCAGACGGCTTTCGACATGCTGCGTTGCATCATTGGATTTGTTTCCCTTCTAATCGATTCTATTCGTCGCCATTGGTTGTAGAGCCAAGGAAGCCGAACGCGACTCGAAAGCCGCGCTGCTGCAGCGGCCCGCCTCCGACACGTCCGCAATGATGAGGACAGTACACTCTTATACACTCGCTTTCTCTTAATGTTCCCCAAGCTTATCAGAGCCCAACAGGTTCTTATTAGAATTGTAGTTTCCGCGTTCCACGTGACGCTCAGATAATTCTCAACCCGCTGCAACGTTGTGCGATGGAGAATCGCGGACGCTCCATCTCCAGCTAGAAAATGAACGCAAAGAAGTTATAGAAAGAGGTAACTCGATAGACTTAATCTGGCTACTGGCGGAGAAGGGAAAAGTTGTGAGCGCCGTCGAAAGATGATTTCGCCACTCTAGGCAGTGCCGTGTTCCTTCAGTAATAGCTATTCGCAAAAGATTTTCAAGCGTGGTAGATTATAGTCTCTTTTAAAATGAAGATCATACGGAACCCACTTTCACATGGTGCGCCTGTACTTTTGGAAAGAAACCCTGTTGAAAGAATCGACGCGTGCAAACCAGAGGACATGAGTTATTATACAGGCCGAGGAAGGACAACGCCCTGGGAAGGCGGATGGGCCACATTCATTCTCATGAGAGTCGTAATAGAGAACATAATGGATTGCGAGTTCCACGTGGGGCCTCTTCAACACATTCGCAGGCCTGCTCTAAACTATGCTGAAGAAATCGGCTCTAAGTGCGAATCGGAAAGGAGGGCCTATTGCTCGAGCACAGTCGAACGATATCTTTGAAAATTTAAGCGTTGGCGCTTGGCAACGTCAATTAAAGCTCCATAATTCAGGCGCCAGAGCCATAACAAAGACCAAATATATTGTGCTTCACGTTGACGAAGCGAAACATCGATTTGCCGCCCTACATGACGACTAAAACTGGTTAGGAGCGTTGTGAGTAGCACATGATAGTTCCATCGTGAAACAGAAACGACTGCGGGTCGTCCTCTTCTAGGTTAGGCCAACGCTTTTGGCATTTGTTCACTCTCAGAAATTCAATGTACACTGGACAAGTGGGGGTTAAGACAGAACGCAATGAATAAGTTTGAATCTGCGTAAACGTCCTGCTGATGAGCGAACGGTCATTCCCGTAATTCCAAGTTACCCACGCTTTCAGCAGGAACCACGATGTTGTGGAAACAGCTTTTAGCAGTAGATGTGTCTGACTGCCAATCTCGATCACTTCCTAGGGGAATCCGACTACATAGGGTATGTGAGGATGGAGTTTTCGGAAACTTGTGTACCACTAACTCTCGTTGTGTGCCTCTTTAGCTGCAAAATCACAAGCACAGCCCCTCTCAAAAGCATAGTCGAGTTGTCGTATTCATTAACTTTAAGTACCGACTATCAGAAGAACTTTCTGCATACCTTGTAATTGTTCTCTAACCAAGAATATTAAAGTGGTAAATAGCTTACAGTACTTATCCGAAGGCGACGCTGTTTTCTTGGTGGAATCGCTGATTCTGCTGCTAGCACTGATGACCGTTGCATTTTCTTGTGCCTTACGTATCCATCTGTATCTACGAGGAAACTCAGTCAGTTCTCACACTAAGAAAATTCAGGGTGCTATATCCTCCTTCTTCAGGTACGTCACAATTCGAAAAGTTTTTTCCCGCGTATGTTAGTACTTTAGCTTTCTAGGAATTCTAGCGTGTACGGATACGGCCATATCCCGGAAAAGGGGTGGGCGTGGCTGCATACATCACTTGAACGCGGCGACGGCTGCCCTTTCGTGAGCGTTGCCGTTTGGAGACAATCGCAAAAATGTCTTTGGCCAACACTACACAGGATGACAGTTGTTTCAGATGGAAATACACTGCTCCACATAATGATAGTTCCACCCATAAATCTTACAAAATCCCGTCTTACACGACGTTTTCAAAAATGCCTCCAAGTAGGAATTGTGGTAATTACCAATGCCAATTCGCATGCCAACACCAAAAACTAACTCGAAAGAATAAGTTTTTTTGTTCATTTTTTGAAAAGTGGTACTCTGACAATTCCACAAAATGATAGTTCCACCAAACAAATCGATCATCCAACAACAAGTGTACAACAAAACGAATGAATTGTTAACTTAGTAATCTATTGCTCCATTTCCCTGAATAAGTTGGAAAATGCGGTTGTCCATGCTCGAATAGAGGTTTTCAATAAGCTTTCGGTCGACATTGTGCCATGTAATTGACTCCTTGAGCTCACGGAAGTCTTAGAATCGTGCATAGTTCGCATAGAACTTGCGCACCACGGAGCCCTACACATTCTCGATTGGGGTTAAGTCGAGGCCAGGGCAAAAGAACGATTTGATGACGACTGAACCACTCTCGAGTGCTTCGACTGGTATGAATTGGTGCATTATCATGCACGAAAACGAGGTCTTCTTGCCGATTTCTACGCCAGAAAGGGAGGAGACCTCGTCGCATGACATTTAGATAATCGGAAGACTTCATTTTCTTCGAAACGAAACACAACTTTAGACGTCCCGTTGATGTGATGGCAGCCCAGACCATAATACCACCTCCTCTGAAGTTCCGCCTGGAAAAATGAAGCTTCTCTTTCCTAAGATTGTGACCAGGTCAATCTATGACAGTAAAAACGGACAACATGGCAATAAAAGCAAAGCGCATGTTCCTAGCATTAGAGATATTGCTCATGTTTCAAAGTCCCAATGGAAGGTGATTGAATATGACCAAGGGGTAGGCGAATGAGCCAACAAGAATGTAGATTGCCTAATATAAAACAGTATGAAAAAACTAAGGGGAAGCAGCAGAAGCTTACGAAAACTCCCAGACTGTGTATCCATAATTGGGGGCAGGTGGCGTGGCAAGGTGTAGGCGCGGAGCAGGGGGCGATTCATAATGCGCGCGAAAGCGGGCGAATTTTCATGGCGCGGAGCTGGGGGGCGATCTTTAATGCGCGGAGCTGGGGGGGGGGGCGATTTTAATGGCGCGGATGGAGCTGATGAGGGGTGGAGGCGAGTGGGGGGGTGTGAGAGGACCGAAGGGGGCGAGGAAGGTAGGGGCTGTGACTGGGTTACGGGTGGCGGGAGGTGTTAGCAGCGGGCACATGCGGCGGGGCACTCAATTGACGGGCGGGCCGTACGGGGGTAAAAAAATGGCCCTAAAAAGGCTGAAGAAGAGGCGTTAGGTGAAGGGGAAACGCTAGGAGTACCTCAAACTTGGGTAATTAAACCGGCGATGGAGAGTGTTTATAGTCGGCGAAAAAGGCGCGTGGTGAGCGACTTTTGGAGAGCCGCGTGAGAGAGCCTGAAATTACTGAAAGCGTCATGTAAGACTGGATTTTGTAATATTTACAGGTGAAACTATCATTATGTGGAGCAGTGTATTTCTCGAGAAAAAGTATGTTCAAATGAAGTACGCGGCTACGCCCTCTTCATTTCCGGGATATGGAGTGTAAGCCAAAAAGCACTCATTTGGAGCGCGAAGAATATTACTGTGGCTTGACTCTTGAATCAGCCTAATTAGAGCATTCCTTGAAGTTTAATCAGACCTATTTTGTATTTCTTATCGTCGCGATCAGCGAGGAAGTGTCAGGAGGCGTGGAACGAGCCCGTGCGCTGCGTTTTCTACCGCTGGTAATTTCCTACCACTGGTAGGTCTTCGGCGTGAACCGGCCATTTCTTGTGGAAAACACAGCTACGAGTGGGTTCACTCCACGCCTGTTCACACCGCCCTGTCGGACTACAGGTGATGCCTACATATATTGCGAACCTTTTTGAACTAAGCAGGGAACTTTGGCGGAGGAAGTTTCGACGGACGTTCAAAACATAAACACTTTCAGACGGCTTGCCCTGTCATTCTTCTGTATGTACCACTTCTGATAATGTTCTTGATGTTATTTACTGGCTGGGATTTATCTCCAGCGATGAGTTTCTGTTGTGGAATACTCATGTCTGCATATCCACTGTTCTCTCCTATTATCATTATGTTCTACATGAAAGACTACCGTCACTACATCCTCCATATATTCGGTCTGGGAAAGCAAGCAGCAGCAGCAGCACGAACAATGATTGTCATTGCCAAGGATGGAAAAACTACCTTTACAACATAGACTTCGACTGGAAAAGACAGAAGAGTGC